AACATTTTATTTCAAAAGTAATGTTTTTATCTCAAATTTGGTAAATATATTTTTTTTTTTTTAAAAAGCACTTGAGAATGAAGAGAATACTAGTTAATGAGTTTATAATAAAAAGCAGTTGGGTAGGAACAAGAAAGTGATTCCATAATATAATTTATATTATCAACTTAATAAAATTTTAATTAAGATGTGATTTCCAGACAGGCAGCGGTTCTCTCTCTCTCTCTCTCTCACAGTTCCACGCTTTGTTCCCCTTTCTCATTTTTGGGTGTCCGTTGCAGCCCTAAATTCCTCAATTCCATTCTGTTCCCAAGGAGCGAAAAAAATAAAACAACCCAAAACAAAAGAGGAGAGAAAATCCAGCGTCAGTGCTTGGTTGGGGTTTATAATTTTCGAAAGGCGGTGTGAAAGGGGAAGGGGAAGGCGACGGCGGGGTTTGAATGAGGAGGAGATAAATAAGTTTGGGAATTAGAAATTGAACAAACTGCGGACGACATGGCCACCGCGGAGTTGCAGATGAGCCCTCAGTTGGAGCAGATCCATGGTGAAATTCGCGATAATTTCCGTGCTCTTGCGTATGTCTCTCTCTCTTTCCTTTTTCTTTTTCCCATCCTTCGGCTTCTGGAGACGCAACTTCACCTAATTAGAGTAAAGATGTAGGCTTGAGGGATTTTATTGCTATTATTGTGTGTATCTGCAATCCAATATTTTTCTTTTTGGTTCCACCACCTCTGCTCAGCTCCATCACAGGATGATGCTTCATACCAAAATATGCATCCCATTTCTATCCCTTTTATTTTCTTTTAATGATCAATTTCACCATCCACCACAGCCTAGGGCACAAATTTTCAAGTTCAAACGTCTTCAATTACAATGTTGTTCGCATCATGAGTAATGTCCGCATCCCCTCAAGTTGCCAGTGTTAGACTTACCCTTTTTGCATCCATAAAGGACCCAAAACAAGAGATTTCAAGGTTTCAACTTTGTTGGTTTAGGGTTGTCCTTCCAGCGCTAAATTGATCAATGTTATAACTATGATGCATTGCTCTCAGAAATGGCTTCCAGAGGCTGGATAAGATCAAAGATTCCAGTAGGCAAAGCAAACAGCTGGAAGAACTTACTGCCAAGATGAGGGAATGTAAAAGGTATGCCACTTCTTTTGTATTTTTCACATAAACTTAGTAATAAATCAGATATCTGATTCTTCTGCTTTCTTCTCATCTATACATTTTTAAATCTTTACTTCAATGAGTTGTTGCAGATTAATCAAGGAGTTTGATCGTGAAATTAAGGATGAGGAAAGCAGAAATCCTCCTGAAGTAAATAAGCAACTCAATGATGAGAAACAATCTATGGTAAGTTCTTTTTTGAACCTCACATTTCATAATTATTGGCAATTTAAAAAGCATATGGATGGTAGAGTGTTTTAGTAGCGTGGAAGTCTGCAATTGCTTTTAGGGATCACAATACATGAATTTGGGAAAGTAGAATGCCCTTGGTAGGCAGAGATAAAACGGGTAGTCATAGTGGCTTATTGGTGCAAAAATTATCTCCCTTTAATATGTTTTCTTTTCATATTATGGTTTCTAATCTAAGTTTTGTTTCCTTACTTTTGCAGATCAAAGAACTGAATTCCTATGTGGCATTGAGGAAAACGTAAGTTTGCCTATTTGAAAGGGTATAGATGGTGAATTTTATGTTTTAGACTTCTCGAGTTCAATTCTGATTTATACTAATGCCAGTTGAGTCGTGAAGTTTGGAGAAATAACTTAGTCTGAAACTTGGCCCCCCAATGTAGGATGAAACCACTTTTTGAGTGGTAGAATTCAGCTCTTGAAATCCAATGAAATTGGCCTCTTTAATGTAATTTTTATGGCTTTTTGGGTATAACTGCAGATACATGAATACCCTTGGAAACAAGAAAATTGAACTCTTTGATATGGGAGCTGGAGTCAGTGAACCTACAGCAGATGAAAATGTTAAAGTGGCATCATGTAAGATCTTATTATTTTTCACCCCCCATTGAGTTTTGATTTATATAACATTTTCACTTGGGATCAAAGACCCTTAGATATAAAAATGATGGGTATGATTTCATTACCTGCTATGGGATACAAAAATATGTTCCAATACTATCTAGTGTCAGTTATAATTTTGCTGATATAGTTGATCTTGGATTTTATTTTGCTATATGCATTTTGAATCAACTCCTGTCTGGAAACTGAGACATGAAGTCTTCCTAGGATGTTGAACAGTAGACTCATTTGTTTGGGAACAATGCTGAGAAGCATTCATGACTTTGGATGCTACACCCATAATCAATCTAGTCCATGATTTTGACTGAAGTGATGAAGTTATGACAACAGCATCTCAAAATAAAGGTCTTATGTACTTTTTGATCAAATTATTTTGTTACAACGTGGCTTGCTCTGCAGCAATGTCAAATCAAGAGCTTGTTGATCATGGGATGAAGACAATGGATGAAACTGATCAGGCCATTGAACGCTCAAAAAAGGTAAACAGCTTTTTGTACAGATGTGCATGCCTCAGCTTAATTGTTTCGTTCATCTTTTGTTTTCTGAACTTTGAGATTCACAGGCTGTTGAACAAACAATTGAAGTTGGAACTCAAACTGCTGTTACTCTAAAGGGCCAAGTAAGTACGATTCACTAGCCTTCTCATTTTTTGTTTTTCTTGTCAACTGTAGTGTCGCATATACTGATAGAAAGATATACAGACTGAACAAATGGGCCGGATTGTAAATGAGCTGGATACAATTCAGTTCTCAATTAAGAAGGCATCGCAGCTGGTGAAGGAGATTGGTAGGCAGGTTAGTTGATTGGTAGCTTCTAAATCCAACTTTTGTCCCATTTTCATCTTTGGCCATGTTTAAATAAGTAAATTTTTTCTCCGTCCAGGTGGCCACTGATAAATGCATCATGCTATTTCTATTTCTTATCGTTTGCGGTGTTATAGCCATCATTGTTGTGAAGGTATTCTTTTCACTTATTAATTTTGAATTTTCCATGGAAGTTGTGAGGCATGTTCTGGTGTATATTTTGAGCATGAAGCTTTTGAAAATAAAACATTTGTGGGGACTTGACCTCCAGGGTTGTTTTCGTGAAAGATGATCAACCGCTCTACCATCTCTTTTGTAGTATGGCAAGGTGGAAGTGTTCAACATGAGAAATGTTTGTCAGGAAACCTCATGATTATATACTTGCAGCAAACCTAAGCCACTCAGCATTTACGTTCTTTTAAGTAGATTAAGAGTTAATGGATTCACATGCATTGTTAGGGATGCTAATCTTAGTAGTGTGCCAAATATCCATATTCTAATTGCAATGCGGAAAAATTTTCAGATTGTGAATCCAAACAACAAAGATATCAGAGACATTCCCGGATTGGCACCTCCAGCACCTTCGAGGAGATTGTTATATCTAAGGGAATCGCAATAATTTGAATAGGTTCATTGTTTGTTTCAGCTTTATGCTTGAGTGAACGGGATTGGATTGGAACGGGGAGATGCTGTTTGAGGGATGTATCTGATTTTTCTGTTATCAATTTTTATGAATTGAGATGTGCATATATCCGGTTTGTGATGTTAGTCTGTGTAAATCATGTGGGAGCTGTTTTTGAATTATTGGAATGAGATACTATGGTTCTTTCTTTGGGTCATAATGTTAGAAATAACAAACTCAACATGTCCTTTTAGGAGATGTATGAATCTCCATGTGTTGACTCAGAGGGCATGCAATGCAATGCAAGCTCTTGGGATTGAGAGTTTTAACAATGCAGAATTTTTAGAGAGAGAATAATACACGGAAATTAACGAAGAATAATATAAATAATAATTGTGCAAGCATTTGCGAATCCAAAAGGGGGTTTAGTGTCACTGTGAGTGAGTGAGTAAGTGGGAGTTCAAAGAATGCAATTCTATCCAAATAAACCATACTACGGTAAGCTCATCCCCCACTTATGGGTCTCTGAGCAACGTAATTACAATAATATTGCTCTTTGCTATCAACTGTGAAAACAATTTCTCCCTTCAACTTCTATGTCAACTGCCTCCTTTTTGCCAATTCATTCTCCATCTGTTCCAATTACTACCACCATTCTCCAACATCATTCATGCCGTATGGTTTGGTTGCTGAGTTGTGAACGCCCGATATGAGATAGCCTTGATGAAAGAAGGGGCGCTTCTTCATCATTCAATTCAGAGACATCCAAGTTCCCTCCATTGCTATTACTACTGCTATGCGGGGTGAATATGTCTGATGACTTCTTCTCGAACTTCCAATCCTGTGTCAACCACATTACCACATCATGAATCTGATATGCCACAGCCACTTATATTACTTTGCAAGTTTGTATTATCTTTCATTATAATAGGTAAAATTTTCAGAGACAAAGTTCAAGTCCAAGTAATGAAACATTATGTTGACAAGATTGTGATATCAAGGATTATTGACAACACTGACCTTTGTGATTCTCTCTGGAATACTATCAGAAGGTAGCTGCAGAGCACGACCATCCTTAACCTTTATGTAGTTATACATGACAACACCACAGAGAGCTGGACAGCAAACAAAAAGAGGTTGTGTCGAGTTAACTTCTCAAATACAAAAAATGAAAAAAAAAAATTGTAATGGCATGATACTTGAGTGGACAAGTACCGATTGCATAACCAATTATATTTAGCCCAGTTATGGTAGACTCTGGAAAAATAACAGTCGAAAGGGCAATCAGTATCCAGTCTTTTAGAACACCAGCAACCCTGATGGTGACAGCTCCAGTTCTTCCAATTACTAAGAATGTGGACAAGTTCAGAGCCAGAGCACAAAGAGCATTGGAGAAGAAGATCCAGAAATTAAACTGTATCTGTGAAACTGCCATCCCAGGCTTCTCCAGTAAACACCAAGGGACAAAAAGAAATACGAAACTGCAAAAAGGAAAAAAGAGGAAAAATTACAAATAAAGATCACACATTGATCCATTGTTGTCAAGCAGTACAATAAGACATCACTTGAGCAATATATTGCACATATATCCAACATAAAGATTATATATATGGGATGGCAGTCATGTGATAGAACCAGTGTACCTGCATGGTGCAATGTAGTATAAGCTGGTAATAGGATTTAGAGTCAAGCCCTTCTTTTGCAGGAGGACTTGAGTTAAGACCAGCCTAAGAGCTTCCGCAAAGATGCCCGTAACCTGATAAACTGTGCCAACTATATTAAAATGTATTTCCCCATATGAGGAAATGACAACTCCAACGCTGACCAGCACCATGTTTAAGAACACATCGCACCTTGGTTTGTCAGTGCCACACATAACACCCATGGAAAATGTTGCCACTGGCACTGTAACATCAAACCACAAATAGCCAGTCATTAAAATAGGAGAGAGCTTTCATGCTAATGAATTAAAAAGTGCACTTTGTTTCCCCATACTTAGAGCTTTGAGCATCTGGATAAAAGCCACAGATATGTGCAAATAGGCAGTGTTACCAAACCTGTATCGGAAACAAGAAAAAAAATAACAAATTTATGCTTAGAACATGCAAAACACTATCCACAAAGGGGAGAAAGGTAAAACAAAGCTGTCAAAATTCGTTACAGCCAGTACACAACAAGCTCTATATCCTAATCAATTTGCAGTCTATAGCAGAAACCTTTAGGAAACTCAATAGCATAAATGCACTTAAAATTACGGTAATTCTCATTGAAAGCAAAGGGGAATACACTATGAAACAAACTACTCACTGCATGATCAATATCTACCAATAAGTTAATAGGGCTTTCAAGCAGTATGTTTGTACTTGTTGCTTACATAAATGACTCATTATACCAGATAACTCATACCATCTTAATAAGGAAAACACTACATCACACACCAAACAAGAAGTTCAGTCATACCACATTTAAAGTGCTTACCAAAGACTTGATGCAAAGAAGGCACTTATAGGTATTACACATGTTGCATATCTGCAACACCAAGAAAAATAGTCAAGGAAAGAGAAGATGGATCCTGCAGCAATGCAATAGTTGAGAATAATCATGGCAATTATGCATAAAGAAATGCACTTACATTTCAAATGTCATTTTGACAGGAGCTACAACCTGCATGTTGAGATCAGCGGCGAAGAAAATGTATTACCAAGTTAATCACAATAATGGAAAACGAAGCTTGCATTGAATTGTGATAATAGTGCTCTCAATTCTCTATTTTGCTTATGCAGCAAAATGCACACTGAAAAACAATGGCCACTTTAGCCCAATTCCAATACATTGAGAGGCTACTATCTCCCAAAAATGAGGGAAACGTCAACTTCTCGTTCCTATATTTATTTGCATATAACAGTAAGATGGAGCATACAATTCAGTCTGTTGTTCCAGTTTAACATGAAGACATTCCTTAGGATATTTAGCAATATTAGAGGAAAAGGAAGAACAAATGGAGTGCGGGAAATGAAGAAGAGAGAAAAATTGAATTAGTTGCATGCCATACCTTGAAAACACGGATAAGAAGAAATGCAACCAGTCCGGAGAAAGCCATGTGAATCATTGTCAACGTTATAGGCAATGGAAAATTGAAGTATTTAGGAGACAGAACCCACTGCAATGAAATTGGAGACAGTGAATTACTTAAATGAATGGTTCCTTGCCAAAATTAACCAGAAAATTCATAACTTGCTATAGCTGCAACCTAACCATTTGAACAAATCTTGATCAAAATTGGCATATTGAAATGTGATAAAATTTACAGAGACCAAGAAAGCAATAGGCAGAACCCAATGTGACAAAAAGCAACAGGGACGTTGACACAAAGTATTCAAAATGAAAGGAAGCAAAAGATAGAAAAAATGGAGGAAGCTTGCTACCTTGTTGTACAATATAACTCCGGAAGAAAGCAAAACGTAGATCAATAGGTAGAAATAAGTCAGTACAAGCGGCTTGTTTATCATTTTGGCGGCTTCCCTTCACTTTCCTTTCACCAAATATCAACCGCGGA